GCTTGGTGCAGCACACCAGCCTTGACCAGCCCCTCCTGAAGTACTGGAGTGAGTCTGGGAAGGGAGGAGGACGAGGGGCCGCAGCGCCCGGACGCCTGGGCCCTCGCTGGCTCAGCACGCCCGCTCTGTCCTTGCAGGTCCTGGCTTGTCCCCGGTGGTGACGCTGCAGGTGGCCGTGGCGGCGGCAGTGTTGACTGTGGGGCTGGTGGTCTTCAGCGTCGGCATCTCCAGCTACTGCTGCTGGGGTGGTGAGGGCTGGGAGAGCCAGTGGGGACGTGGTGGGGTCGTGGCACGGGGCACGCGATGGCACACGTGTGTGGCACACACGTGTGCCGGGGACGTCATGTAGCGCCGCAGCGGCTCCGTGCATCCCTCCTGAGCATCTGCTTTGTTTCTGCCAGGTCCTGGTGGTGGTCCCGGCGGTGGTCCTGGACCCAGACTTGGTCCTGGTCTTGGTCCTGCTCCCAGTGGTCCTGGTCTCCAGGGACGTTCTGGCCCTGCTCCTGCTCCTGCTCCCGCTCCCGCTCCCGCTCCCAGTCTCAGTCTTGGTCCTGGTCTCCATCCTGACCACCAGGATGGCGGTCCTGGTCCTGGTGTCGGTCCTGGTCCTGGTCCTGCTCCCAGTCTCAATCCTGATCCTGGTCTCCATCCTGGTCCCGGTCCTGCTCCCTGAACGTGTCTTGGAACTGGTCTTGGTCCTTGTTCTGGTCCTGATCTTGGTTCTGGTTCCGGACCTGATCTTGATCCTGGTCTCAGGTCTCAATCCTGGTTCTGGTCCTGGGCTTGAACTTGGTCCTGATCTTGGTCCTGGTTCCAGACCTGATCTTGATCTTGATCCCAGGTCTCGATCCTAGTTCTGGCCCTGGGCATCATCCTGGTCCTGATCTTGGTCCTGGTTCCAGACCCAGTCTTGATCCTGGTCCCAGGTCTTGATCCTGGTTCTGGTCCTGGGCTTGGTTCTGGTCCTGGACCCAGTCTTGATTCTGATCCCAGGTCTCAATCCTGGCTCTGGTCCTGATCTTGGTCCTGGGCCCAGATCTAGTCTTGATCCTGGTCCCGGACCCAGTCTTAATACTGGTCCTGGTTCTGATCTCAATCCTGGTCCCAGCCCTAGTCCTGGACCCAGTGTAGGTCCTGGAGCTGATCCTAGTCTTGATCCTGGTCCAGGTTTTGGTTCCTGTCCTGGTCCCAGACCCAGTCTTAATACTGGTCCCGGTCCAGTCTCAATCCTGGTCCCGGTCCCAATCTTGATCTTGATCCAGGTCTCGATCCTGGTCCTGATCTCCATCCTGGTCCCCGCCCTGGTCCCAGCCCTAGTCCTGGACCCAGTGTGGGTCCTGGAGCTGATCCCAGTCTTGATCCTGGTCCAGGTTTTGGTTCCAGTCCTGGACCCGGACCCAGTCCTGCAGTGACTTGTCTCTGAGCTCCCAGCTCCAGCCCCCAAATCGCAGCCCCAGCTGAGACCCGCTGCTGCTGTGACACCCCATGGGCTCCCCGGCTGGACCGAGGACAGGCTGTGGCTGAGGGTTTCGGGGGGGGGCACCTGGTTTTGGGGAAGGCTTCCTTACACCACGAATAAACACACTTGCCCTCCCTGTCCCTTGCCTGGGCTTGTCCACGTCACTGGCGAGGAGGAGCAGGGCGGCCCGGACGCCTGGGTCCTTGGCCGCGCTATGTCCCGGCAGCA